ACACACTCACTCACTCACTCACTCACTCACTCACACACACACTCACTGTCACACACACACTCTCACTCTCACACACACACACACACACACACTCTCACTCTCACACACTCTTACACACACACACTCACACACACACGTACCGTTGGCGCTGACACAGAGAGGTCTGGTGCTGGATAACACGGGACTCTTCAGAGGAGACGAGTCTTCTGCGTCCTCGCTCAGAGCTGAGAAGAACACCACATACCTTCAGGAGCGCCTACCACACTCATGACAATTAACCATCACAGACATTACAGATGATTTCACCGCACTGACACAATCAGACGAGAACAAAACTGAGCCGAGCTGATCTGCATAATGACTCTATTGTCTCCTGTAGAGCTGCTTTACAGATAAAACTGAGTTTGATTCTTAATTGATGAATTTTACAACTTTTATTTTCCTGCTTATTACTGTGAAGCTGCTTTGAAACTATCTGTATTGTAGAAAACACAATAGAAATAAAGGTGACTTACATTAATGCACTGCAAAAACACTTTCTTACACAGTATTTCTGTCTTGTTTTCAATCTCAACATCCTTAAATCAAGACACATTTACTGGAGACGCAAAATGAAGATATGAAAAAAATATATATTTTCCCCTTTGAATTAAGTTGATTTTTCTGATATCTGATATTCGTTTGTTTAAAGCAAAAACGCAATTAATTTTCACAGAAAATTTCACAATTAATTTAAAAGAAAACAAGACTTCACATTTTTATTATATTTTATTCCTTGCCGTTTTCTGTCAAAATAAAAGTCTGATGGTTTAACATTTCAAAATGCAGAAATTAAGACATAAATATTAATATTGCAATTTTACAGTTGTAAATGTACAATAAATTGTTTTTTTTTTTAATGCTAAATTTTTTATTTTACAGTGAAATATTACAATATTAATATTTCTTATTTTTTATTTAATAATAATAATAATTACCACTGATGGTTTAACGTTTGACAGCTGTAATGTAAAATAAAATTGTTATTAAAACACTATTTTTCTCAAAAACAAATTTTTTATTGTTTATATTATTTTTTTATTATTATTATTTTATATTACAATATAAAAAGAAATTGTTTTTATTTTGTAATTTTTGTATTTTATTTAGTAATAATAATAATCAGTGGTTTAACGTTTTAAAATGGCATAAATATAAAATTTTTATTGTAATCTTTATTTAATAAAATTTTATTGTAATGTTTACAGATGTAATGTAAAATAAAGTTTATCATTATTATATTATTTTACTTAATTTTTATTTTACAGTAAAATATTAATATTTCGTATTTTTTATTTAATAATAATAATAATTACCACTGATGGTTTAACGTTTGAAAATGAAGATCTTAAGAGAGCCATAAATAGTAATATTGTAATTTTACAGTTGATATATTACAATACTAATATTTTTTTATTTGTCTTTTAGTAATTAGTTTTAATTTAGTAGTAGTAGTAATAATAATTATTATTATTATTTTATAGCTATATTGATATATAATCACAATTTTTATCAGAAAAATCTCAATTGGATTCTTTCCCCAATCAGAACGGTTATTTTGTGTGACACTCTGTTGCTTTAATGCAGCATAAAAACAAGGATGTTTGGATTTAGCCTCATTTCTGGTTTCTTGTTCTGTCGTCTAGATTCCAGCCGGGATGCCGCTCCAGCATCCAGGAGCCGATGCGAGTCGTTCGACTTCGACGCGTTGCTAAAACAGGCTCGGAGAGGACTGAAGAGTTAGCAGCACAGAAGAACCAGCTTAAACGACCAGTTCAGTTCAGTCTACAATCTAAGCTGGTTCACACTGGTTTAAAGCAATATTCTGGGTTAAATACAAGTTAAGCTCTATTAACAGCATCTATAATAACTAATATAAATGAGAATCACAGCCGTACAGATGGTGTCCAAAGAGCTGCGCTTGAGCTTGAGCTGGAAAAGTTGTTATTTTTCAACTTCACTAAACTGACTTTGCTTTCGGTTAGAACTTCTGTTGAAGTGCTTGTGCTCATTACATTTTGTACATAAGAATGGAGCGGCATTAAAGGATGAAATTGTCATTATGAAAGGAAATTCAACTCAATTGAATGGTTAGTGGTTTGTCTTCTAGTGTATATATATTTGAAGTGATACCAAAAAAATAAAAACCCTGTTTTTTAGCTGGAATGACGATAC